GGTGGCGCCAACTCTCAAAACAAATAAAAGGTATCACTAAGGCTACAACAGGCGACATATCTTACCATCGCCAGACTTCCGATTGCACAGCTCGGCTACGGGTCCGGCTATGTTTGCAAGTTGAAAGTTACACTGAGTCGTGCAAGTCACTGGATGGGTCGGATGGATATATTATCTCATACCTACAAAGTGATCGATGAGACTAACTTGCAACATCCTGGCAAGTTTTCTCAACCACAAGATGAGAGTAAAGGTGTCATTTGATGGGCATCAACCATTAATGGGCATTAAGCGACATTAATGCCATAATGCATAATAATTTGATACCAGTACGTTGGGGAGGGTCCAAGAGATGTTTTCGTGACCATCATCTTTGCCACCGAAATGGTATGTGAAACAAGCAATAAACACAAACTCATGATCTCAAAAATTGATATAAAATGCCAACAAATCGGTGCGATAATAAAAGTTCTGATTACAAAGCAAGTAAGAGCGGTCCAAACACGCGTTCTACATTGCTACAGCTGTTTGGGATCACAGTATGTCATTCATCACTCCCGCATCTAGCTCAGATAAAGAGGAATTTCAACATAAGTTCACCGACGTAGCATGCAAACAACATTTTTCCGCCCATAAACATACCTACCGTCCATACTTGCCTATCGAGACTCCACCCGAAGCGTGTCATCGCTGGCGTGGGCGCCGCCGTGGGAGGCGCCCTTGGCGACCGGGGCGTCCTCCGCTGTCCTGTGCAATGTTGCAGTGTTGCAGGGCTGCCAGCGGCGTGACACACTCAAGGAGGTTGTGATGAGACAGCGTACATCACCCCCTGACTGAGTGTGGGACGCTCACGGCCGGGTGTCGGAGCTCAGACGAGCGGGGCGTCCCGGGGCGCCCGAGGGCGTCGGGTGGTGACCGGGGCGCCCGTGACCGCCCATGGGGCGCCCCGAGGGATGACTGGGCGCCCCGACCGTTCACTGGCGCCTCTCTGTTGACAGTGGTGCGCCGCGCCGCGGTCCTGCCGCCTGCACCCGGCGCCGGCCCGACGCGTTTATATGGACGGTGCTGGCGGCCCGGCTCCCCGACGGGCCGACTCGTGAGTCGCAGCGGCGCAGCCAGGGGGGGGGGGGACTGCTACAGTGCTTCAGGGGGGGGGGGGCGAGGTGTCAGATGAAAAAGCCGTCTAGTTAGTATCGATAGAGGATGGGAGCGTTGGAAATGGGCGAACACCTCTCCAGACTTCACTGAAAAGTAAGATATATTTTGAGCATAAACAAAACTTTCAGGAGATATAAATCAGCGAGCAGTTGAAAAACTCGTAAAGGAGATTTACACTTAAATTGATGATAAACGTTTATCCTGAAATCATGCACATCTGTTCAGGGCAGCAAATTCGTTTTGAGGTTCATAAATAGTTTTCGGCTCTCATTTAACTGGTAAAGCTGCTTGGAATCGTGCCTGGTGTCTAAATATCAGCTCTCTTGAGCCCCGGAAGGTATCCTCGGTGCTCTTACTGCGCTCATTTCCCAGTTCATTCAATCTGATGCAATCACTTTTCCTCGAACATCATCCATCATCCAAACACACACAAGCAAACGACAGCCGTGAATTCGGGCCGTAAAAGCTCGGGATCCGAGCTTGCACGAATTTTTCCCAAGTTGACCTGCCCCACCCGCGGTCACTTCCGCACCCCTCTGGCTCTCTCCCCTGTGCTGTGACCTGGGGCCGCCCCTGTCGGCTCCGTCTGACCAGGCTGACACTGGACACCGGGCTCGGCAGCCACAGGGGCCTACCGCTGCAGGTCGCGTTTCGGCCGGCGGGCTTCGCGGTCGGGCGGTGGGCTGGGAGCGAGGGTCGCTCCCATGTGTCAGCGGAGGGCTTTGCCCCGGCTCCCGGGGAGGGTGAGGGGAGAGGTATGCGTATTTCTGCTAGGGTTGGGTCAACTGAGGTCAAATGAGGCCAAACTACGTTTTTGCTAACTTGGCAGTTGGCACACAACATCCGTGAAATTCACACAACGTCAACACTTCACGTCAAAAATGGTAATTGTTTGAAAAGTCTCCGAAAATTGAGAGCAATAAAAATCAAAACAAATAACGTCAAAAGCTGTATAAAGTAATTACACATGTCTTTAAAATTGCGTTCTCGGATTTGTCAAAATAGCGTTTTTATCCTTTAAATTTCGAAAACTTACATTTTGGACCTATCTGCGGATCTCAAATCCAAAGCTGCATGATTGGGATGACCTGGAATGACCCCCAGTGAGCGGTGTTTCGTGCACTAAATAATGGTTATGTCCCATTTGGTGAGGTGCGTTACATTAAAATTCACGAGAACCATTGACATTCAGCTGTTTCACGATAAACTTGCAATATTGATGGCATAATCGACGTAAAGGAGACATATTTGGCTGCTTGTCAAACGATTTAGTATACTTCTTCCATTCTTTTGACTTTTCGGTATAAAATGCGCGAGTTGTGCACCAATTGTATGCCACTAGAAACACTCGTATCAATGCGGTTCCCGTTCGTTTTGAAATATTTCTGCTAAAATGCGCAGCTACTAATAACAGATAGCATATCAAATAGCATCCTCCAAACACAAACATGGAACACACATAGCATGACGTACGGAAAATTAACAAGAAATGTCTCGTATTTGGCTAGAAATATTACTCATCTTCTGTGTAACGGGCGTCAGTCAGTCGAGCCCGACCGGCTCGCCCTCTCAGCTGGCATGCCGGTCACTGCTGGAGAGGTCAGCCACCTGTCAGATCACCTACACAGGCTGGCAAGAGCTGACCGAGTGCCTCCGCGGCGTCTCCGTACACGTGCCCGACATAGAGGAGGCCATCACCTGCACGTGCGTGCCGCAGCCCCCACCGATCATCGAGCAGGGGATGGAGTATGACCTGCCGACTCCTCTTCCTCCAACCTCCGCCGGACCGCCGGTCCTCCCAGAGATGGAGGACGACTTCTCCGATCACGGAGACGAGAGAGACAGCTTCGGCGATGCCCTGACATCAGACCTCCCAGCAAGTCCATCCGGCGCCGGGGCGAACCTCAACAACCGCCCGATTACTGGACCCCAGTGGATGAAGGCACGCGGCACCAACCTCGCCGATTTTGACTACGTGGCCCCTGACGGCAGTGTGGCGATGGCCAGCCGGGCCCGGCCGCCGGGCGTGGCCGGTCCGGCAGCGGTCGTGCTCGCCGTGCTCGTGGTCGTACTGCTGGGCGTAGTGATAATCCTCGGCTGCTCGAGGAGACGCGCTGAGGTAGATCCCTCTCTGGAGGAGGAGTATGAGGAGGGAGAGGGAGGAGGAGAGGAGGAAGAGGGTCAGGGGAACGAGGCAGCTGGGAAAGAAGGTTTGGGAGAGAACGAAGGAGCGAAGATAAAAGATGTAGAAAGGAACGAGAAGGCTGTAGAGGAAGAAGTGAAAACTAATGAAGGAGGTGGGGAGAACGGTGCGAAAGAGAATGTGCGACCTGGAGAGCATAACAAGAAGGGAGATGAGATCAATCAAAAGGACGACAAACAAAGCGATGAGCAGGATAAGAACAGCGACAGCCCAAACGATCCTCCGCAACTTACAAGGCCTGTGAAGGACGAAAAGCTGGGAAAGATAGCTGAGGAATCCAAAGAGGTGAGGACAAACGAAGGAGAGGAGGACGAAGAAATTAGCCAGGCACCAGGAGTTTACTATTGATAAAATAAACGCAAACTATACACGTGTTGAATAGGTAACCAAAAGGTGCTCGCCACCAAGTAACGTCTATAAAATACTGTATAGCCAGTGCCACACTCAATGTCCCTCCGGGACCTACGTCTCCAGTTACCCCTACCCGGTGTTTACCATGCCTTCCGCGCCAGTGATGCGCGTGTGCGTCCGGACGAGCATTGGGCACGCAGCACGATACTCTGCGGTGGATCGCATTTCGATCGTGCTCGTATTAGGGACAGGGCTCGGTGCAGAGCCGTGGGTCTGCCGATGAATGAGTGCGCCGCTGGTAAAAACAAACGGCTCCAGTGTCCGGTGACGCTGCGGCGCGGCGGTGCGGTGGAGAGGCCGAACGGCCGGCAGGGGTGGGCTCAACGAGGACCAGAAGAGGGTGAGGGACGACGGTCGCCGGTGGCAGGAAGGGCCGTGAAGAGGATAATGCCTGCGAAGGTGACAGTGCTTCAGTGGTTAAATATTATTGTGCTTGGAAATAATCATTGGCAAATGTGTTATTTTTAGTAAAAATGGGAAAATTTATCGTCAGTTTACTTCGAATTTCATTGTTGTAATTTGTAAATGCAGCATCGCCCCAATTACGTGCGTTTCTCAACTAATCGGGTATTTCGTATGGCGGCACTTATGCGGATGAGTTGAGTGAGAAAATAATGAAGGATTAGTAATCACGATTTATCTTGAAGGCAAAGCCTCAACTACAAAATATTTCTAAAGTTCATCTGCGCTCACACACCTCAAGGATGAAAACAAATTAGCGATGACATTGCACAAAACTTTATTGTTCAAGTGTTCAAGGATGCCTTTGGTTCGAAGAAGATACAATGGCACACGTAAGCGAATTGGCGAATCCTGAATAGTTACACAAAACATCAAACATGCTTTTACACTCAATAGGCTTAAAAACTATCTATCACAAAGAAGACTAGATACAGTTGGGACTTGGGATGAACAAGAATGACAAATTAGGATTCGTTGATAGCAATGCAACAATAATAAAAAGAAGCCCGACCAACTTCTTAAAACATAAGATACAAATATGTATATACTATCTATGACATGGGCTAACCGTAAAGTATGTCAATTACACAAAATGCATGCAATGAAGAAATTGCACATAAGAGCGTTTCGGCTTCTACGTTGTCCGTTTTATGAGCGTTGTCATGCTTTCTTTAGAGTTTTATAGAGAGTTGTGCTGACGACCAACTGACGACGACGTTTTAGTCAAACACGTGTTAATAACCTACTTATTTCGGAATAAGTGTTCTTCTTAAAGCAGCAATCCACGCTTAAAATGAATTCCCAGTCGGCCTTTTCAACAACATTGATGAATTATATGTGTCACAAAACATGAAACAGACTTGTTAAAACTCGAGCCACTCTTCAGAGCATACATAAATACAATACAAATGTGCTACAAGATAATAATCCCCAGAAGAAAAGAGATCAAACAGCGCATTATACACACAGGACACTAAAGTGACATTTACACGGAGTTTACATTTGCACGTCAGGTCGACGTAACGGTGTCAGTCCACACTTTAACATCGATACGTTGCTAAAGCCTGTCGTTCAGTTTAGCTTCTACATAAAAAATTGTGCGTGTGTGATTTCAGTTATCACCAAAAGTTCACATTTGTGCGATGGTCGACGAAAAGTTAGTACCTTGTGCGCTACCGATACAAGAGTCGAGGAGATAATAGCGGTAAAAGAGTTGGCCATAAGGAAGAAAGCTGGCTGTGAAAATGACAGCCAAGTTATGAATATATTGCACGTACGGGACCAAACGGAAAATCCAATTTGAACGATGTTCAAATGCAAAGAATTACCAGCTATAAATCCTACGAAATACTCTCTCAGTTTAAGAAGAATCGCGATATTCCGTAAAGAAAGAAAAATATGTCGAAAACCAGTGGTTCTGGGACCCACCGATAGATGTCAGCCAGGTCGCCCTTCAGCTCTCCACCAGATGTCACCGTTGTCGCGATGTGGCCACTGAGGGCATCCGCTAAGCGTCGTACGCGTACTCTGCCTGGTTGTGCATGACGAGTCGGTTATCGACGAAGTAGAAACTGTCCGAGCGCGTCTCGAACGGTGAGCGAATCATCTCCGCGGCTGGGGAACGGGAACGGGTAACAGTCAGATGGAGCCACAGGCCGGCAATAGCACACATCAGCTGGGATGTCACAGCTCACAGACCAGGCTGTGGAAACGTGTGCTGCTAACTGGCAAAAGCGTAATATTCTCTTCTTCATTCGAAAGCTAGCAGCCAGTAGAGCAGCATGGGACGAAATTCGACAGAGCAATTGGTCTAGTCAACATGACTTCCAGACATAAAGTCATTGGCCAGATTCTTGCAGCGGACCAAAAGGCCGCTAGACGCAAAACACTGCCAGTCATGACCACTGACCAGTCGAGGCTCGAGAGACAGTGTCATGCAGAATTTCACGATAGTGATACGGATGAGGGAATGATTCATAAGAGTGATCGAATCGACAAGAGTCAGACGTCCAAGCTATAGTCTGGCAACCCTAAGAAAGAACGGAGTTAAAGCGCCTGAATCACTTTGCACGTTTTTTGAGCACTTGAAATGTATGGCTTGGAGAAATTTGTGTGAAAAGTTGTGAGAGAAAATATGCTCTCACAATATAAATGTACATGCATCAATGACCGAAGCACTATTCTTTCTTAGGTTTGCCAGACTATAGTAAACAAGGAGAACACGAGTAAAATGGTAATGAACAAAGGAATAACGAGTAAAACGCTAACATTGACTTTGGAGAATGGTACTTTTTTTAAAAAGAAATTTTGTCCGAATGGATGAATGGGTGGCTATTGGCCCGGGTGCCCCGCTAAGCAGAGCTTGTTGCGAATGACACCACGGACCCACCAACCCGCCTTGCCCGCGCCCGGTTCACCGGTGATAATTTGGATCGAAAGTTTAACGTGCCGCAGGTAGATGGCGGCACGGTCCTCCCGGGTCTAGCGTGGCCCTCTCTCGCCAGTTGCCAGCTGGCTTAATATAGGAACGCGGGTCAAACGACGTGGAGCTGACCGTTCCGTGCTTCTATCCTCAGGATACTGAAATCCTTCTCCTCCACGCCGCAACCCCCTCCGGGCTGGACAGGCAACTTTATCTCATGCGGGCTGCTCCCTTGGAGCGGCACCGCTGCTCCTGAGGGAGCGCACCCCGTAGCCGGGTGCAGTGAGTGCCTTGGGGCTGGGTGGCCTGTCCTTTGGACGGGCTCAGCCCCGGCGACTCACTAGGGTGCCTGCCCAGACCAATGTCTCCCCCTAATTCCTACCATCCTTCCGGCTCTGCAATGGTCTTGTCGACCGAAAGGGCCTAACCCAACAAAACAAAACAAAGACGTGGAGCTTCCCGGCCGCGAACTCGCTGCCACCGAGTTATTTTGTTTTGTTAGGTTAGGCCCTTTCGGTCTGACAAGACCATTGCAGAGCCGGAAGGATGATAGGAATTAGGGGGAGACATTGGTCTGGGCAGGCACCCTAGTGAGTCGCCGGGGCTGAGACCGTCCAGATGACAGGCCACACAGCCCAAAGGCACTCACTGCACCCGGCTACGGGGTGCGCTCCCTCAGGAGCAGCGGTGCCGCTCCAAGGGAGCAGCCCGCATGAGATAAAGTTGCCTGTCCAGCCCGGAGGGGGTTGCGGCGTGGAGGAGAAGGATTTCAGTATCCTGAGGATAGAAGCACGGAACGGTGCCACCGAGTTAGGAGACGGACGCCTTATATACTAGGCCACGGGAAGGACAAACTTCAAGCTAGCGTCGGGATAAGCTTAATTACGTAGCATTTAGCATTATTCACTGCACGAAGCATAGCCAAAAGAGGGCCAACGGCCCGTACCGACTTACCCATGTCCGGGTGGATCCTTGGAAACTCGTAGATGTGTTCACACGTGTTTTTCGAGTTGGGAATGCAGTAGCCGAACTCAAAGTCAAACGTCTTGAGCAGCTTGTTGCGGAAAAAGTGACGCTCGATCATCCGAAAGTTGTTGACGGGCTTTGGTCCGATGGTGAACTCGACACTGGGAAGGAGAGGGAGCACGTCAGCGTGATTGGCAAAACGGCATGAAAGTAATAGTGACGTGAAGTTTTCACGACGAACTAACTAAAAAGGAACATGTGAATCAGTAGACAAACACGTTTTTGGTGTTTCAATACGCCTTCGTTCGACTGTTGTACAGCAGGATTTAGACGTTTTATGCAACGCCACACTTCAGTTGCTGAGGCAGTAATAGAACACTCACGACAAACTAAAAAAAAAAAACATGGATAAAGGAATTCACAGCGGGCTTAGATATACACAAAGGCATGACATTCAGCCGCCGCATGTCCCCTCCAAAGTTTCTACTCACGTCGCTCCGACCATTTTCAGTTTGAGGAACTTGGGCGTGAAGTGGTAGCGCACCATGCGACTGGCCTCTGGCGGCAGGTCGGGACTCTCTGTGTCCTCTCCGGAGCCTTCCTCTGTAACACAGCGGGGTGGGTATAGTAGGATGTGAGGGAGGCACTAGTGTGAGCGATCTGAGGGCTGAGGTTGGCAGATAAACGAGAATGAACGACACTGAAATAAGGAGTAGTGGAGTGGTTTCACGACCTTATCATGGAGATATGTGAATTAAACTTGGTACATTTTCCAAGGCTCGTGGAGCACAATTGACAATTCTGATGTAAAAATTGGCATGAAAACAGCTATCCAATCTTGAAACTTAACCAACGGACATAAGTCAGCAACAATATCATTGCATCACAAAACTTCGCGCAAAGCTACCGGATAATATGCAGCTTTTGTTTTGTTGGGTTAGGCCCTTTCGGTCCAATTAGACCATTTCAGAGCTGGAAAGATGATACGAATTAGGGGGAGACATTGGTCTGGGCAGGCACCCTAGTGAGTCACCGGGGCTGAGCCCGTCCCGAAAGACAGGGCGATCAGCCCCACGGTACTCACTGCACCCGGCTACGGGTGTGCTCCCTCGGTAGCAGCGGCGCCGCTCCAAGGGAGCAGCCCGCAAGAGATAAAGTTGCCTGTCCAGCCCGGAGGAGGGTTGCGGCGTTGAGGAGAAGGATTTAAGTATCCTGAGGATTGGAACAAGGAACGGTGAATATGCAGATGACATGACCGTCAGCTCTCTCCTCATGCCTTCCACTCACCAGTCGTGGGTTTCACGATCTCGAACAGCACCGAGCCCGTCTCCAGGTCTCGGATCTTGAACCGGGTGAAGTCGATGTTGTAAATGTTGGCATCCGTGCTACACAGGTAATCTGAGAAAACACAACGTACTGCTGTCACTGTCCGCAGCTACCTACGTACAGCTGTCAGCATAAATGGTACCGTGAGATTTGTGTCCTTTGTACTTGTAGAGCTATTTAGAGGATATGGTTTTGACGTTTACGTCATACTAAGTATAAATACCAAGGCAGGCTTTAGCTAACATGAACAGAGGGTTCTTTTATACCGCATCCAACTGAGTCGCACTATAAGACAAACAACTAACTAGAAATTCAAATAAGAACCCGGTACTAACATTCATTACGGAGCGAGCGAAGCGAGCGTAGTCTTTCCTTAGATTAACGGAAATTTCTGAGTATGAGCGGCCGGCCGGCCGTGGTCACGCTTTTGCGAGGCTTATATCTCAGCAACCACTTGACCGATTTACACGCGGTAATTTTTGTAGGGTAGCTTCATTCCTTCTACCAAGTATTGGACTATTCCTGATGCATGTGGGTGACCCCTTATGCACGTGCCACGTGCAAAACGAAGAGGTGTCAGTTTTGTAATTGTTGCAATATCTCGGTAACTACTTGGCCGATTGCGCTGAAAGTTGGCATGTAGGTAGGCACCCACTAGGCACTGCATATCCATGTGCCAGAGTTGGGGCGCTGCTGCACGTGCGCACGTGCAGGGGTCGTTTCCAGATCTCGAGAATGGCTCGACCAATTACCCTCAAATTTGGTACACAGTTAGGGACCGGTTAGTAGGGTGCCGTGCACAAGTCAGTTGGGACCCATTTTGCACGTGCGCACGTGCAGGGTGCCGCTTCCAGATCTCGAGAACGGCTGGGCCGATTGTGCTCAAATTTGGCACATCGCTAGAGACCGGTTAGTAGGGTGCCGTGCACAAGTCAGCTGGAGGTACCCCGTCAAAATTTCGCACGTGCAAGGCTCACCCTCTCGCTCGCTCCGTTAGTCGCCCCAAAAGGCGTTATACTGGTTTAATAACTGCCTGTGAGCTACGTTCGCAGATAGCGCGACCAGCCGCTCTCTTACTCTGAGTGGGTTTCTGCAGCCGAAGCACATCCTCTGGTGTGATGGTATCCTTGGCGAGCAGACTCTCCTCCGATACAGCCTCTGTGGAACGGAACAGGGCGCATCAGACGCAGCCACTGAGGGTGAAAGGAGGCTCTCGGATCAAGCTACTCTTGGGGGTGGGGGTGGGGGGTCATGGATCCGTAAGATCTAGCAGAGGTCCGTTGAGTTACATAGTCTGTGCATATAAGACTGAGACGCATTTAACAAATACTCCGGTAGAAGTGCTCCAGTTCAATGAAGCCGGCTATCCTAGTTTGGCTGCGCTTTGAGGAACGAAGTTATCAGGCTGCTGCACGATACGCGACATAACGAGACCATCAAAGCGTGAACGACTTATAACTAAGAAAGACCATAAACGAAATGCAAAGCCTGTTAGCGTTTCACCGTGCCCGTCCTTTTCGTACCTTGAGGCAGTCTGATGGGGACGGACTTGCTGGTACTGGAGAGGATCCCCGTGCCCTTGTCCTTCGTGGTGCCACTTCGGACGCTCATCGTGCGCAGCGGTGGAGGTTCAGGCGGTCTGCAATCACAGGAAAGCACTATCAGTTACACAGTGCACGGCAGTTAGTTCGATATACCACGTCCATAATGAGCATGTCAACGCGTATTGCGTTGTCGCCTCGTCGTGTTCGCCTCGTCGTGACCGTAAACACGCTCAGCGAAACCGATGACCTTTAATTCGCTATTCGACTAATCCGGGTAAAAGATCGAATTCAGCAGCATCGTTTCCTTTGACATTGAGCATATACCTATAATATCTTGGCGATTAGCTTGATGAAAATAATCCCGAAAGTGAACTTTCACCACTGGCTGTGTTTCAGGCTCAGCAAGTCGATAAGTGTTCTGTGTGATCGCAAATGGCGTCATCAACATAGCGGTGGATGATCCAAAAAGTAAACAGCGCAAGTCAATTTTATCATTCATTAGGTGCTCCCCAATTACAGACGACTATGATGGGCTCGTTTTTTTATCAGTAGATTTGTGAATTGTCATTGCAGCTCATTCGAGTTGGCCGTTTCCAGCTACAAAAATCGAGGTGCAAGGCTGAGTGTTATATTTACATCACAATGTAAGACAAGCTGCAACGAGAGCCGTGGTAAAGAACAGCGCAGCAGCGTCCAAACAAAACAACAAACACCAGTAATGGACTAGGGGCACATCTAAAATCACACTAAGACCACTCACAATTTACAAACCGAATCACAACTGCGAGCAGACTGTCATTTCAGGCACCGCACTTCACTAGTTAACTAGCACCAGAGTAAATTGCTGTGTCTCGCAAACCTGTCCAGTAGTGTTCATTGTCCACTGTCCAGCGTTCAGTCTCCACAACACTACCAATTATGTTCTCACTCTGTCCTTGACGTCATCACCTGACCAGTGACGTCACTGGCCGCTTGTTCCACAACTTCCCGCTGCTCTACTGCCGCCCGCTCTCGCTCCAGCCACCCCTCTGCGTCAAACTCGGGGAAGAAGAACTCAATCTCCCTCGCCGCCGACTGGGGGGAGTCGGACCCGTGCAGACCGTTCCTGGTATCCGTAAGCCCGTACACTGCCCGAAGACTCTCTGGATGCGAGTACACAGCCCGATACACCTTGGTGGGTCCCATGAGGCCCCTCCAGGCAGCGATGGCATCCGGCCGGGCGAGCACGAGCGCCCACAGCGGGCCACTAGACACGAACGTCACCAGCCGATTGTGGAAGAAGCGTCCGGCATGCTCGGCGTACAGCGCTTCGGCAGAGGGGCGGCTGAGAGTCAGTCGGCGGCTGCGCACCACGCGGAACTCTGCCGCGGAGAGGCGGGCGAATACGGCACGCACGAGCGTCGGCGCCGCGCTGATGTCCGGTTTGATGAGGGCCAGTGTCAGCTGCAGCGGCGCCGGCACCGACATGGCGACCGATGGCCCTAGCCAGGCGGAGATGATAGCTGAGGGAGGGGAGTGCCAGTGAGTTAGAGTCAGCTGGTGTGACAGGACAGGTACCTATGGTACCCAAATTATGATAGATATGATCACTATTCATTAGTATGCGCTGAATATTTGCAAGGCATGTCAAACCATGGTTGAAATGAAAATTTAGATAATTCAGCCCCTGCATAATATTCATGAGTGAAATCAGATGTGGTTTTGCTGATGTTATTAAAAATATACTGCCTAAAATATACCATTAGCATATGAACCATGCAAATGAAGTGGCAAAAGAGTGATGCAATAACAATTATGCAAAGAAACATCAAGTGCCTACTGCCTACATGGATGCATTGTACTACCTAATATAGATGATTGAAGGGCGAATTTTTCCAGCTTTCAGACAATTGATCTTCAAGAAAGTAATCATAAAAGCACTGTAAGCTCTGTAATAAGGCACAAAACAGCCCAAATAGTTCTATAGATAGTACAAATCTTACCAAAAAAAGTTGTCCATACTCAACAGAACAGATGTGTCCCACAGGGAAACAGGAGCTGCTACAGCCTGCCTTTTTCACTCTCCAGGGTGTGAACAGTGAATGTGTGAAAATTTTACTCTGCATTTTCAGAGTGGAGCAAGGGGCAAGGGCTGTGACTGTGACCGCAGAAGGTTGAAAAGAGTGAGAGGGGCCAGATCATTCATTTCCAATACACCAAGAGGCTAGGGAATGAATAAAAGCATCAACAAGTGCAGCAGACTGCAGGATAGTGAGCAGGGGCGGAGAATTGTCATAATCTCAGGGGGTGCTTTTCTAGCATCTGGCGAATGGAAGCTTCGAAAGCTTGCGTAGAAAAGCATGTGTAGGTACGTTTTCCAAGCAGCATCACACTCCTCGCGGCTTACGCAAAGCAGTTTGTGTCTCAGACGTAAATTAAGCACCCCTGGAGCACTATTGCACGGTGACTTTTGAATTTCAGGGGGTGCTCGAGCACCCCCAAAACCCCTAATTCTCCACCCCTGATAGTGAGTGAGCTGGGAATAATCAATGTACCTAATTGCTTCCTTTGTTTGTTTTGTCAAGTTAGGCTCTTTGGTCTAAGTTATATGTATGAATACTTTTTTAAGAGTATTCTCTAGGATGGTCAGTACGTTGAGTAACAAAGTGAGGAGTATATTTACAATATCTTTTGGCCTAACCAGACCAGACAGAAGGATGTCAGGTCTTGGGATCTGTCAGCAATAGTCGAGAGTACCTAGGAGACTTTAACAGTAGTAGGTAGTCTCTGACTAGTGGGCAGACACATTGATATCGGCAGGCACCCTGGTGACTCTTCGTAGCTGAGCCCATCATGACAAGTCAGTAACCGCTCATCCCTGCTGAGTGCTGAGTGCTGACTGCTAAAGGATGGTAACTAGCCGACAGCCGCACCTCAACCTGGCTACAGGCCACCTCCTGAAGTCCCAGGGTGAAGCTACCAGCATGGGATAACAACGACCATCCAGCCCAGATAGGAGGGCTGAGGTGTGGAGGAGAAGGATCTGAGCATCATAAAATGACAGAACAGAGCTTGTTTGTATGTCAAAAGTGAATTTCTATTTTTTGCAACTGACCATCTCGTTCAAATAAGTGTTTTACGTTTTATCTCAACTTTGTTCACTGAAAATTGCCCTGAAAATCCATATGAAGTAGATAGGCAGAGAGCAATTAGCGCTGATACTTACTACTAAAGCAATATCCAGAAAAAAAGATCTTCAAAGATTTTATCAACACGTTATCGATCACCGTTCATCAAATCGCCTCCGATCAGTCGGGGATTCTGTTCCATGGCTGTTCAGGTACGCAGGAGTTGCGAATATTCACAAATCAGCTGACAGCATAAGCCGTTCACGTTCGTAAACACAGCTTCTTTTTCAATAAAAGAACATGACAAATTATTAGTTTTGTTGGTCACTTTTTGAAATAATTCTGACCACAAGTATCTATGACGTCACTAGTAAAATACCAAAATTTACCGAAGTATTTCGTTAATATTGCACAAAAAGTTTTGCATTGCGCTTAAATTTTCGTATGAAACTTTCTTTGCTGTTTAATTTTAAAGAAATTTTGCTTCGAAACCTGTAATTTAATCCCAAATAACTCCTTAATTTGTACAAGATCTGTGACGTAAAATAATGTGTTTTTTGAACAATTACTTCTATATTTTTGTTCCGACAATAACATCGCGTCTGTTTCAAAATATTAATGCCTTTTTGTGCTGTGTGCGTTGAACGATCGATTTTTCCCAATTTTTGTATATTTCAGCTGAATATAGTGCTACAAACTGTAAATACTTTTATCAGTAGCAGCGAAACATCTTCAATTAAGGGGGGCACTGCCGACTTTTGGTCCCATTCTTTCCATGCAACGCCCATAGGGGCCATAGGGCAGTGTTGTATATTAACTTATATAAGTTATATATATTAACTTATATATTAACTTAGTGTTATATATTAACTGTATATATTAACTTATACGGGCTTGCCATAGGACTAGTGTTAAAATGTCAAAATCAAGGAGGGACGGTGCCCTGGTGCCCCCCCCCCCCCCGTTCCTCCGCCTATGAATTAAATGCACCTGATAACCTGCTAACCTTATTGTATCTTTCACTCAGCATTATCTTTCTCGTATGCTTTAATCTGCGGCCCAGAGCCGTTAAGGCTGAAGGCAGTTCCTTTTTTACGAATGTACCTGAACAAAATGGATTGCCAGCTGGAGCTGGAGTCCAAGCCTAACACATAGTTTGAATGTGTGAATATGGATTGACAGAGCTGGAATCCAAGCCAAGGCTGAGATAAAGCAGAGCTTGTCATGACTGGTAGAAAAACACGAAACAAATAGTGCATGGACACGTTTCGATTATTAAATCTTGATAGTTGATCAGCATGATATAACCTCAGAGAAAACAATGTATCTTGTTTTCTCTTTGGTTATGTCATGCTGATGAAGATTTGATAATTGAAACACGTCCATGCACTAGGTATTTGTTCTGTGCTTTTTTTCTACTTGTCTCTATCAATATACACTCGTCATGACTGTCATGAGCAGACTACAAGGCCTTCCAGTTTTAGAGTTTTAGAACAAGAATGCCCTGCAATTACATATCTCATGTCAATGTGATTCCTATCAACACTTCACTCTGTGCATGTGTTTTATCCTACAGGAGCAAACCCTCAGCCCAAGAAACAGTTAACTTTGTGAAAACATATGGTCATCATGCCTGAAAAAGATAAGTTGCTGAAGGAAAATGTTGGAGATGGTCCTGGTAAGTAGTTTTGCTTGAGCATTTGATGTAATTTCATGTTGAACTTTCACTCAGTTGATATTTAAAGCATGCTTCACCTAAAGCATGTCCATCATTTAAATGTGCATTGTTGTGCATTGAAATAATACATTTTTGTTCAGAGCCCAGACATTCACTGCATCTTATTTATATTCCAGGAAGCCGATCCAGTTCCAATGGAAGCAGCTCTCCAAAAGTGCTGGACATTCCTTTGGTAAGTAAGAACACACCCGGCCATCTGAGACCTGACAACTGTGAAACAGACAAGCTCAATCAACTGCAAGATAACTGATCTCATCTGAACCTCTTTTTAAAAACTAGTCTTAACATCAAGCATTTTACTGTCTTGTTTGTTACACTATGCTACCTTACAGTCACCATGCAGTCAGTTTTATAATCTCTAACATTACTGCAGACTGCAGGTACAGAGAGGAACTGTCAGTGGAAACTGGAAATGCTTTAATTTCCAGTAGCATTTATGCAAGAATACAAATGCTAATAAGTCCACTGTTTCAGAATTCAGGTCATTACATATTAGTGATTAAAAATTCCTGATGTCCCTGATTAGAGAAGAATGGTGCATGCAGACAGGAGAAGGCCTGTTCAATGCCGTCCTCGTTACTCCCAAATTACCTACGGACTTGGGATTGGGCGTCGTTCTGCCTTGGTTCTGCCTCATATTTCCCCACGAATATCGGCTGACTAGAAGATACGAAGTAGCAACGAACCACCAACCAGCCTCTCAACTCACAAGTCACAATTCGGTCGCTTTAGAACAGAATCAATCACCCCCCCCCCCCCCGCCCCCCTCCATCCTAAACATAAGTCTCTTAGGCCTAGCTATCAAATATCTAAATGTCGGCAATGGTATCTTGCAGGCAGTTTCCTCCATGCCACCTCTATGTATTGATGGGACAAATAAAGCAAACCAATCGATATGCGCTCACGAACTTGACATGGGGATGATCGTAGTTCCACGGGTAGCGGAGACGGATTTTTTCCCGTGTTATGACTGATAAGCATTAATCGCCGGGGTATTCTGGACACCCCCCCCCCCCGAATATTTTTTTTCGTTGATCTTTATCGCCGAAATTGAATTGGAATAACTGACACTTCTTCTCCTGCGCATCGTCCGGCTCGGATTCAGCTCGCTCTACCTGATTTCGTACCCGACAAAGTGTCCTCTAGTTTCGATAGATCGGCTGTCCTCTAGTTCCGCTAGGCCATCAGCCTTATAGTCCTATAGCCTCGCTGCTCTCCAGCTCCGATAGCCCAGCTGCCTGCTAATTCCAATAATTTACCGACTCACCGGACCAGCCTGTCACCGTGAGACCGGTGCACGGTCGCCGGGTTGGTTCCTCCCACCCGGCCGACAGCGACCCCGGGTCGAGACCAGGACCGGGACCAGTCGTGGTCTCGGTCTCAGCCGGGTCATCACTGAGCCGTCAACCGGTCGGCGCCGCTGGACCTTCCCAGTTATATGCTGCGTCGTCCAAGTCACAGTCCAAAAGTCTGTCCCAGTCAGTGTCCATCAAAAGTCGTGTCAGTTTGTCTGCGTCCATATGTCTGTAGTCCCATAGTTTAATGGAATATGTTACGCTGGAGGGGCGACTTATGTTAAGACAGGCAAATATTGGTAAATGATCAATTTTTGAAAAAGGAGGAAGTGTACCACTGTCAAGGACCATTTCTGGGTTTGATACTATAAGAAGATCGCGTAAATTGGTAACACTGGTGTCTGCATAACGTGTGGGTTGATTAATGAGCTGCTTGAGGTTGAGTGAATAAAGTTCATCCTGTAGGGTAATTTCAAATGGTGTTACGGGGCTATGGTTAAATAAGTCTGAGTTGAGATATGTGTTTCCAGCAGGGGCATTCCACGTCAAATCAAACACCGAAATCCGTCATCCCCTTCGATTTTTCTGAAAATTTGTAGGCAGACTGGGCATGGTTCAAAACTGAGTTACGTATAATATTTTCGAAATTTGATAACGTATCGCTGAGATATAGGTCATCGAATATAGCGAAAAATGCCACACATCAATTTTTTAAATGGCTATAACTCTGGTTCCTTTTCTGGTATCAAAATGATATTAACAGGGTCTTATAGGCAATTGATAAGGCTTTGATTTTTAATTATAAAATTAGATTGAAGTGACCTTGAAATGCATTTGACCTTGAATTAAAACAGAAAAATTTAAATAGCAAAAAACACGTCACCTTCGATTTGAATAATTTTTACATATTATGTCCGTCACAATGTTCCTAACCATCTGTGAAAAAATTGGAGTGGGCCATTCATAACTTTCGCGGCAAACGCCGTTTTCATGCATCAACATCACGCAACCGCGCGTGACCTTGAAAGACAGCGTCAAGACATGCTTGCTTGTGCACACTTTCTGAAATGAATGATTGCTGATTAGTGATATCCCAAACTCTGCGAGAATGGAAATGCATAGTCATCGTAGTCAAGCATTCACGTTCCATAGTTAAAGTGTCTCAGGCAAACGGTATTTTGCGGTGAATTTTGAGCCGTGTGGAAATGCATCATGAAGTAAATTCAACGAAAACATTATCACGCAACGATATCTTCACGTCTTTTGATCTTCACTATACGAAAGAACATACATTTTTTCGTAGGTATGGGGAATTTCTAGTTAATCCAATAATAAATATGACAGTTAGCGGCCTGCTAAGAGTAACATGTCGCCGGCTGAGGCGGGCTCGGCCGATGCGGGAAACGCAGCAATCACAATTTTGTGTTTACACGTTCATATTTCAATTGTTTACCAACCGATTTTCAAAATTATTTCACCATAAGATTGCCTGTATATTTCTTAGTCTTCTCACAAAATTTGATGCGAATCGAACGTAATCAGCGGTAGGGAGCGCGATGTAAAGACGGAACCGTTCCGTTCCGTCCCGGCACAGTCTACAATTCAGGCGGCGCGTAGCGGTCGGCGCCGGCTGCCGAGTCGCCGCGTCGCTGCGGCGACAGGAAGTTCACTTTACACCGCTATTACTAGAACAGTTGTGAACCGATTTTCTTATTGCTTGCACGATGAGATGTCCAATTCAATTCTTGACAGGTAGCCATAATTAATTTCGCATTAATCTTATGAGATATTGGCGAAAAACAGGAGGGGTGGGCGAAATTCGCTCTTCCCCCTCCACTGCGCGTGCTAACATACGTTTGCATATGTGCAATTTTCTTCAAAACTTATGAATGGCCCACTCTAATTTTTTCACAGGTTGTTAAGAATATGGTAGGCAATAAAATATATGAAAATGAGCCAAATCGAAGGTGACGTGTTTTTTGCTATTTCAATATTTGTGCTTAAGAACAGAGTTAAGCAAATTTCAAGGTCATATATTTAAGTAGGTGCAATTCTAAACAAATGCTTAAGAAATTACCTAAACAGTAAGGTTTATTTCATTCAAATCAAACAAGTACAACCAAAGTTATGGTCGTTCAAAAATATAAAGATGCAAC